TGCTGCTAATTTCTCTTAAAAACTAATTTCTCTTAAAAACTAATTTATCTTAAAAACTGCCTGGGCAGTTTTTCCGTCCCTGCTGCTTGGATGGGGCCTGGGGAACGGGGATCATCTCCGCAGGGAGGCTGAGCAGATGGGAAGAGTTTGATTTAAAGGTCTTAAGCGGGCAATACAGGAGCTACCGGGAGAAACTATGGAGGAGGAGGAGGAGGAGATGGTGTGAAAAACAGTGAAAGCTTTTATTAGACAGGTGGTACCAGAGAGAGACGTTGGCTAGAGGTGAAAAAGGGTCTTTATGCTCTGTGGGCAGGACCCCAGGGTGGTGTGGGGCTGGTGCTGAGGGACCGCTGCCTGGGGGATGCTCCTTGGGTCATTGCTGACCCTGCTCCTCTGTGCACAAGCTCTCTGGGTATGGCTAACGCTAAATTAATTTATGTAAATGAAGCCAAACCATCTCTGGCTGTAGGAGAGGGGCTGTAGGAGACCTGGAGGGCAGTGTGCCATGTTAAGGCTGTTCCTTAGGGCGGAAGGAGTGGGAGTGTGGCATCCGGCTGATCTCCGAGTGGTGCCCGAAGGTCACCTCCACCAGACGCCGCCAGCCCGTGTCCCCAGAGGCGGAGACCTTTGCTGCAAGCATGGACATCGTGGAGAGGGTCCTCTCCTTGGCCCAGGCCATCCACGCCCAATTTGAGCAGGTGAAGTGCTGTAAGCACCAGTGCCAGCGCCTCGTGGAGCGCATCCAGATCCTGCTGGGGCCCGTGAGGATCCTCAAGGCTCAGCCGCCAAAGCACATCTCCCACCATGAAGAGGAACTGTTGAAGAAGCTTCTCCGGGTGATGAGGGAAGCCCAGAAACTGGTGATGAAATACACCCAGACCAGCTGGATCCAGAAGTTCCTGAGAGCCCACAGCGCCAGCGAAGAGTTCGTCTGGGTGAACGAGAGCCTGGAGGACATTGCCCAGGGGCTCTCACTCCTGCTGCAGGCAGAGCAGAAGCAGGCGTTCCTGGAGGCTTTCCAGGCAAAGACCCGTCACAGGCAGGACGCCGAGGACCTGATGGATGACAGGGCTTTCTTGGATCAGGTGATCGCAAGTAAGTGGACATTTAACAAACCCTCTTTCCCTGAAACCAGCAGTTGGCACCTCTTCCCAGCTGCTGCCCAGCTTTGGCTGACGGCCATGGTCAAGGGGAGACAAAGAGACATTTAAACCACAAGAAAATCTAACCACTTCATTCCTAAATGTTTATCTAACGGCCCCACCTCTGCGCATTTCTCTCCCCAGGTACTGAGGAGCCCAAAGACGTGTCTGGGGACATCTACATCAACACGCAAAGTGTGGAGAGCAAGGTAGACTGGATGCAGAGCGAGCTGAACCAAATTGTGCGCGTGATGGAGTGTAAGTCACCATTGTACCTCCAGGCACCCTGAGCACTGTGTCCTTCCTCTCCGAGCCCTGCCTAACGTGTCCCTCATTCCCTCTTGGCCCATGGCGGGAGTAGCCTTGAAGAAAGTCAATGTTGGTAAAAGAGAAGACATCACCGAGATCGGGCGGGATCAGCTCACCTTCTACAGACACCTGCAGGACACCGAGAGCTATGACCTCTATGAGGGCGAGTACCTCAAGTACCCTGTGGCCATCAAAACCTTCAAGAGGCCGCTGACCACTGACCCGGCGTGAGTTGTTCTGGGCAGGAGTGACATGGGGCAGCCAGGAGGGGAGGGTGACACAGTGCCATGTCACACCTTGCTCTGTGGACCTCACCATGCTGTCCCTTTCTGCAGGAAGGTGAGAGACATCTTTGAGAAGGAGATTCAGACCCTGAAGAAGTTTGAGTCTCCAAACATCCTGCGCATGTATGGGATCTGCATTGAGGAGAAAGGTAGGAGGTGTCGCATTAGTGTCACCCTTCCTCTCCCCTGCCTGTCCCCGATGCTAGCTGGTGGCAGATGACTTGTTGTGGTCCCCTCCCAGGAGGTGGCACAAGGTGGGATGCTCAAGGTTTTGCCTTGCAGATGGAAGCCCCTGCTTCTCCATCGTCATGGAGTACTGTAAGCACGGGACGCTGCGGGATGTACTGACCACGCAACAGCATCTCTCCTGGGAGATCCGCATTCGAATGGCCCTGGGAGCTGCCAGAGGCCTTTACAGGTGAGCTCCTGCCTGAAGCGGTGAGTGAGTCCACTTGGTGGTCCACCAGCCACACTTAGCTTCCTGGTCTCTCTTAGTAAGCAGTGGTTGCCTGTTAGACACTGTTTCCACCACCTTGGGACACTGGGATGGGAGGCTGGTGAAGAGGTAGGCAGTGGGTTTGGATGCGGTAGTGCCCGTCTCTCCTGGTCACTGGCCCCTACATCTGGCTTGAGGCCTGTGAAGGCCTGGAAGGGACAAACCCCCTTCCACCCACCCATAGGGCAGCTTCAGGAGCACCCCACAGCACGGCCAGTTCTTATGGGCCCTGCTCATCCACAAGACTTGTTATTTTGCCCACAGCGGCTCTTTCAGCACCTGGTGGAAAGGTTGGCTTGGCAGGGTTGGTCCACCAAGAGAGGCAGAAAGCTGCTGGCTTCTCTAGGTGCATGTTGGTCCCTCCCATACATGGAAAGAAGGAGACTCAAGGTAGGGATGGGTCCATAACCAGCCCTTTGTTCCATCTGGCTGCAGGTTGCACTGGACAGAGGAGAAGTCCCGACTCCATGGCTGCATCTGCAGTAGCAAGTTCCTGGTGGCTGGGGATTACTGTGTGAAGGTAAGGACCACACTCGGAGAAGCTTCTGGGAGTTTTGCATGGGTTTTGTGGATCTCTTCCCCCACCAACACCAAAGGGAATTATGATAGTCCAGAATAACACCTGGGTTAGAGTCATCTCCCCTGTCACCTTAGACATCTCAGCTTGGGCCACCCCCCAGCCATGCCACAGGTTTCTGCAGGCTGCGTTTCTACCACTTCTCCACCCCCCTCTCTCTCTCGTTCTGCCCATCAGCTGTCGGGATTCGAGCTGGGTGAGACAGAGTCATCCATCAAGAGGAAAGCCAAGAAGAACTGGAAACAAGTCTCTATGTTGGCTTACGTTGCCCCCGAGAACCTGAAAGAAAGCAACTACCCCTACAAGAAGCCCTCTGAAATATACAGGTGTGTCTGTCCCTCCCAGGAGAGATGTCCCAAAGCAGGCAGATGTTGGGCAGGGTAGCTGTTGAGTTATGGAGAAAGGCCAGGTTTAATGGGACTCATAAGCAGCCATTTGTGGTTGGCATAGCCCGACAGTCCCCTCCGTTATGAAGTAGTAGAAGGTGGTAGGATCCATGCTGAGACTCCTGCTTGTCTCCTTCCAGCTTCGGGATCGTGCTGTGGGAGATCGCGACCTCCAAAATCCCATTTGAAGGTGAGACAGATGTATCTCGTCCCCCACATAAAAGCCACACAGCCCGGAGGGGCTGCTGGCTGGTGTTGGATGCTCCCTGCTCCTTCCCGGAGCGTCCCGTGGCATGTGGGTCTCAGTGGCAGTGCCTGGTGTGCCTGGCTCTGCACTTCAGCTTGATGGCTTCTCCTGGGACTCCAATACAGTAAAGCATTTCAGGGACATGCTTAAACCACAAACATGCAAGTAATTTTTGTCTCTATTTGATGTTCCTGTGCATTGAGGCATAAACACATCGCCTTGCTTCACTGGAGCCCAACAGTGTCATGCCCGTTACAGCGTGGCTCCTTGCAGACATAGTTTGGGTGGCTTCTCTGCTGGTTTCTCCATGCCATAAACCACAAGAAGGCTCTTGGCCTGCCTTTGTGCTGGGTTTCCTCCCCAGCACTCTCCTGTGGCAGCAGAGTTCTGGCCTGACACTCTTGCTTGCTCATCTGTTGTCTAGGCTGCACTCCCCAGGAGATCATAGAGAAAATTTGTGACCACCATTACCGGGACCCTGTCGGGGAAGATTGTCCTGAAGCCCTGAGGAAAATCATTGACCACTGCCGGGCCTTTGACCCTTCCGAACGCCCTTCTGCTGAGGGTAAGCATCCCAGACATCTGCTCCACAGGGTTTTGTATCCTTCAATAAGCTGCTTCAAGGGTCAGTTTGCCCCTTATTTTCCACATGAATCTGTCTGGCTTTGTGTTTCGAGATCACTCCTTGTCCTACCTTCTCATGCTAATGAGTCCCCTAATACTAGACCTCTCTTTCTCCATGACTGGATGATAGTCAGGGGGCTTTTCATTTGGCATCACTGTAAGAGTAAGCTTTTTCTCTCAAAGGAGTGCAGAACAGGGAGCAGGGGTGTGTGGGTTAATCCCCACTCAGGTCCTGCAGATCCCGTCAGCTGGGGGGAACGGTCCTGTCCACGGTGCAGGAACGTTTTCTGCCTTGGGCTTTGAGCAATAAACTGCAATCTTGGGAATTGCTCTGAGGCGGGGAATCACAGAATCCCATGGGGTTGGAAGGAACCTCTGGAGATCATCTAGTCCAACCCCCTGCCAAAGCAGGGCCACCCAGAGCAGGTCCCACAGGAATGTGTCCAGGTGGGTTTGAATGTCTCCAGAGAAGGAGACTCCACCACCTCCCTGGGCAGCCTGTTCCAGTGCTCTGCCACCCTCACAGCAAAGAAGTTCCTCCTCAGGTTTAGAGAAGATTTCACTGTCTCTGAAGTTGGTTTGGGTCTGATCAGATAAATAATTGATGTCCATTGGAAGATAGAGGAACCTTTCTGGTGTTCTTGGAGGCACAGAGATTGTACCCTTCCTTCAGTTCATCCCTCCAAGGGGAGAAAGCTTCCTTCAGTCTCATCCACTCCATCCTACGGGGATGGTTTCCGCACAAGAGATGTGTACAAGACCGTGCATAAGAAACCACCCAGCTCCTGCCATGTGCTGTGCTCCCTGTGCCTCTGTCTCCCAACAGACCCTGCTGCCGGGAATCACCCCGGCTGAAGTGAAAATGCCAAAAAAATCATCAGAGATGTTGTCAAATCCACACGGAGGACATAGCATGTCTTTATTCCTCTAATCCAACGCCAGGCCATGCCCGTGTGGGGCCGAGCTGGAAGGAGGTCTTCTCACAGCTGTTTCCAGACATGTCTCTGTATTCATGGCTGCTTCTCTTTGGGCTGTACTCACCAGAGGCTCCTCGGGTCGTTCCCCACTAATGGTTGCCCATTCTTGCTGGCCTGAGGAGAGAGGGACTTCATGTCCCAGATGTTATCAGTGAGGGAGATCTATCTTCTCATCGGGGGCGGGGGGGAGAAAACCAACAAAAACCTATAACAAATATTCTGTTTTGATTAACGCCATCCTTGTGTTTCGCAGAGATTGTGGACTTGCTGGCTGACCTGGAGAAAAGCCGAAACCAAGGAAGTTAACCATGTAAAGCAGGGTGGGGTGACCACAAGCTGCTGGGCACCTCCAGGAGCAAACCAAAGGAAACCAGTGGCCTTCCATCCACAGGCTTCTCCTGGTTTGAGCGACACAGGACTAATATCTCTTTCAGTAATTTTACTTTTCCGTAAGGTCTCTCCTAATGCCTGGGATAAACCGCACTTTTAGAAGACTCTAGTGTCTGAATTGGTGAAAGTGTTTACAGCTGCGGGTTTCAAGGTCTGGGTGTTTTCGAGCTCCCCAGGAGCGGGGACGAGAAGGAGCGAGACCCGGGCACTTGGCCCAAGCTGCCAACGGGGTTATTTCATACCACAAACGCCACATTCCACAGAAATTTAGAAAGTTTGCTGAGGAGTTTGTCTCTCTCCCTTGATGGCTGGGATCCTGAGAACTCCTTGCCCCAGTGCTGGAGCCCTGAGCCCTTCCCTTCCTCCCGCTGGCAGTGTCCCACATGGGCTGTCCCTGCGGGGAGTGCACGGCTCCCTGGGGTGGAACAGGATGGGGATACTCCTTCTGTGTTTTATATCAGTATTGGGATCAATAGTGGTTCTTTAATGTTATTAATGTTAATTATTTAGTGTTATTCTGTATCGGTATCGGGATCAATAGTGGTTCTTTAATGTTATTAATGTTAATTATTTAGTGTTATTCTATTAAATCTGTTTATGCTACAACCCTTGGGTTTCCTTGTTTTTCCCCAATTCCCCTTCTCATATGGGGAGGGCTAATTGGGTGTCATTGGCTGAATGGCAATAAATTGTTGTGGGCTCCTCGAGCCATAGCAAGGCCGAAGCGCGGCGCTTGCCCCTCTTCCCTGCCTTCCCAGAGTGCGAGGGTTCCACACACCTGCATCTGGCAGGTGTGTGACCTGGCACTGGTGAGGCCCCACCTCGAGTACTGTGTCCAGTTTTGGGCCCCCTACCACAAGAAAGACATTGAGGTGCTGAAGCAGGTCCAGAGAAGGGCAACGAAGCTGGTGAGGGGTCTGGAGAGTAAGTCTTATGAAGAGAGGCTGAGGGAGCTGGGGTTGTTCAGTCTGGGGAAGAGGAGACTGAGGGGAGACCTTATTGCTCTCTACAACTACCTGAAAGGAAGGTGTAGAGAGGTGGGGGTCGGTCTCTTCTCCCAAGTCACAGATGATAGGACAAGGGGTAATGGGTTCAAGTTATGCCAGGGTAGGTTTAGACTGGACATTAGGAAACAATTCTTCACAGAGAGAGTGGTCGGGCATTGGAATAGGCTGCCCAGGGAGGGGGTTGAGTCACCATCCCTGGCTGTGTTTAAGAACCGTTTAGATGTGGTGTTGGGGGATATGGTGTAGGGGAGAACTTTAGAATAGGGTAGATGGTTGGACTCAATGATCCCGAGGGTCTCTTCCAGCCTAGATGATTCTATGATTCTATGATCTATCTCCATACGCCAAGGCCACCATGTCACCTCTGCAAGGGGCCTGGGTTCGCCTGGGAGGTGGCTGGTGGGCAAATGATGCACTTTAAAAAGGTAGAACGTGCTTTTAAAAGGTGAAAGGCTTTGGGACAACAGGAGGGCACCCTCCTGATGGCGACGGAGCCATCTTCTCCTCAGCCCCGGGGGGCGCTAGGGCCCGGCTCCCCCCCGGCTCCCTTAGGGCCCCGCCGCCATGACATCGCCCCGTCCATCTCCGCCCCTGTTTGAATCCGCTCGAGCTCCCGCTCATTTCGTCGCTGGGGCGGCTCCCCCAATGAAAACGCGCTGCGCCGTCATTTCCCCGCCCAACGAGTCTCACCGCCCAATCAGCCGGGCTCTCCCGTACGGCCCTCTGACCAATCAGAGCAGGCCTCCCCTCGCCCCCTTCACCCACCTTTCCGTCAGGCAGACGGACAGCGCGGCTGGCCAATGAGAAGGCGGGCCTGGCCGCGGCTCGCCCAATAGAAGCGGGAGCCGAGGACGGGGGCGGGGCAGCGCGGCGCTCGAGCGGGGCGGTCGGGTCCGCCGGCAGGTGAGCGAGGGGCGGCGGGGACGGTTCCCCCCGCTCCGGTCCCCCTCGGTCCCCTTACCGGCCTCCTTGCCGGCCTGGCGTCCCCCGAGCACCGCGGGAGCGGCTGGGCCTCCGCGGGTTGCCGCCGGGGAGGGGTGCGGGGGTCCCGCTGCGGCCTGGCCTCCCAGGCGGCCTGGGCGGTAGCGGGGCGGCCTGGGCGAAGGTGGCCTGAGGCGTCCCCAGGGCTTGGGGTGCCTGCGGCTGAGGAAGGACAAGCCTCTCCTTCCCCTGTTTGCATGACTGGGTTTCGTAGTTAAAATAAGAGATCCCTGTCAGAAGCCAGACATAAACCCGTGGGTGCGGAGCGTGCGCTGAATTTTGGGTGGTGTTTGGGGTTTTTTTTGGTTAAAGCGGGTGCAGCACGCTAAGCCGTGGAGCTGTGGAGTAGGAGCGGGGTGTGCGCGGTGAGGAGGCCCCTCCACAGTGGGGAGCTTGTGCTTCAGCCGCCTGGTTGGTACTGCAGGGCCTTCTGAGGAGCTGCTGCTCCGGCTCTGCCCCGCTGACAGCACCCTGGCTCTTCTCTCCTGGGCCCAAGAAGCTTGTTCATGGAGACCTTCTGTCTGTGGGCTCCTCCAGTGATGGCTGGGTGGGCTCTTCTCGAGGGGGTACTGGCCTTTGCCCCTTGCAGAAAGGCTTCAAGATTTAATGGTGAAAGCACCAGTATTAACATCTGGTTTTTTTCTTGTTTATTAGGAGTTATGCAGGGTTAGTTAACCCACAATGGGGAATGCATGCAGTATTTTTAAGTCTCACAGTTAATTTATGGGCAAAATAAAGATCTGTTTTGCTTCTAGGTGGTGTTTGTATTGTGAAATGTGAGTTTAGAGAAGCAGTACTTGATCACTGAGTATTATAGTATCTTGACTGCATGACTGTTCTGGTGGGAGGTAGCATTTAACATCTATTTGTGGCCTAACTTAGGCTGAATTGGAAATTACTATAAGAATTATAAAATGTTTTGTAAGTTAGAACTTCTTAAAAGGCCTATAAAAACATCTAGGCATTAATACATCCCCCTCTAGTAATTCTTGTATACATTTTCAAGTTATTAGGTGGACTGAAAGCAGCCTTTGCTCTGTTTGCACAGCGCTTAGCCTACCAAGTTTTGGTGTGTGCTTTGGGCTCTTAGTAATGCTAAAGGTCTGCGATTCCCAAGGCCTTTCAGGTTTATGATTGCCTAAGCATTTTTTTGAGAATGTGAATGACCTTCAGCAGCCTGCAGAATTGAATCCACACCACCCTCCCAAAGAAGGATTATTTTTTTGGGGCACGTGTATTTATTCAGTTAAAGAAATGAGCTTGAGCTTTTTTTTCTGTGTTGTAAGACTGCCTGTAGAATGGGGTGTCTAAAGTGCTGCAATTAGGTGGCATAATAATTAGCAGTGCACAGGCTGTTGCCTCCTCTGTACTTCTATTTAGGAGGTAACCTGAAATCTTTATCCTGAAGACATTTGCAGGGCAGACATCCTTAAATAACATACATGAGGTTTTGCTGCAAATTTCATGTTTATGTAGTGTCAGGGTGAATATGGATCCACAAATGCTTGCTACCTGTAACGACTCCCTGGTGTGTTCTGCTGTGGGACTCTCTCTGCGTTGGCACGGTGTTGGTGAAAGTATCTGAAAGGCCTGTCAGAAAGGGTTGCAGCAATAATGGAATTTTACTCGAAGAAACTTGAAAATAAACCCACCTCCGGAGAGCGATGCGACAGACAAAGGACTGCTTTGTAGAGCTTGTTTCTGGCTTGATTTGTGGGTGTTTGTGCAGTGCTGCTCACCACGGAGAATCTCTTGAATATTTCCAAACTCTGTTCTCCAAGGTCCCTGTGAATTCACTGGCAAGCTAATGATGCCAGCATGAGATCCCTAATTTTCCATATTACTCCAAGGGCTTACTTAAATTGATTCTTTTGTTGTTTTTTTTTTTTGCAATGTGCCTTTGGTGCTAGCTGCTGTTGAGGCAAAGACTTTGAGTCCCAGGCTCTGGGAGGGTGCTGCCTTCTGTGCCAGCTTATATACCTGTATTGATTTGAGAGGGTTTAGCTCTGCTGCGTGTCTAAGGCGAAAGGGCAGCCTGAATTGTAAAGGCTTTTGTAGTCCCTGACTGCTGCACCTGATTCTTGCCATTGTCGGGCTAGAAGTAGGGCGCTGACTTGCAAATAAATCCTGGTTTTCTTCAACTCTTTTGCAGAAATGGCTCAAGAAGAGATGGAAGTTGATCTCCAGCCGGTGGTTGCTTACTCTGTGGAGGATCTCGGGACGCTTCCCACAGAGCCCTCGGGTCACGCAGCGCTGTCCTCGGGTGCTCCGGCGCTCGGTGAAGGCGGCGGCAGCGTTACGGTTCCTCCTGCTGATGACGCTGTTGGCACACCAAATGCTGGCCCAAGAAGGGAAGCTGAGCCTGACCCACAGCCGAGTCCTGCCTTGGCTCTCAGCGGGCTGCAAAGGCTACAAGGGCCACTTGATCTGCATCGGCCACTGCCCGTGCCACAGGGCACGCAGCGCCCGCGAGCCAGGGGAGCTCGCAGGCAGCAGAGGATGGGTGGTTCCCAGAGGACTGTCAGTGCTAGGTAAAGCAAAAATGAAATGAGGTCTAAGCTGCACTCTTAGCAACTCTGGCATCAGCTTAAAACTGCCCCGCTTCCTGGCTTCTGGAGCCCAGCTCCATCCAGGTGTGTGGTTGTGGCCAAATTCTGGGCAGGTCACATACTGTGTGAGCTCAGTAACGGCACGGCTCTGATCTCTTCCGGCAGGATCTGTGCTCTTGTGAAGTGAATCCCCCCCCGTTTCTTATGTTGGCAGTGGTGGTGTTGACTCCTGAGCCCTTCCACACTTTCCATCTTGCTTGCAGAGCTTCTGCTCGCCCCGTTCCCTCCGCTCTGCCAGATTCCTGTGGGTGCTCCCTGCAGCAGTGCTGACTCTCCACAGTTCCGGCCAGCATTTAGCTCAGTGGAGCTTGTGCTCTGTTTTGCATTTCACCTTTGATTTGGGCACTGCCCGATTAAGTTTTCTGGTGACAGTTGCTGCAGAAACTTCCACAAACATGTGAACTAATATTTTTCTGCAGGGTTTTTTTTTTTTTTTTGTTATTACCTCCAGGCAAAGAAAGTAAAAATTCTATGTTTAATTCTATTTGTGATGGGTTTAAAGGGTGAAGCTCTCCAGCCAGAAAGAAGTCCCTATTTCTGGTTTGTTTGGTTTTTGTCTCATCTTTGTAGTTTTTGTAAATGTCAAGGGTGAAATTATAATTAACTGGAGCATTGCCTTTAAATTCAGTGAGACTGAGAACTCATCTCTTCCCAGATGATTAAACATAACTGTACTGTTTGCCCTTGGATTGCGTGTGAAGGTCACTGGAGTTCTCAGGGCTGGAAGGCAACCTGACGAACTTCTGCTTTGAATCTGAAGGGTAATTGAGACGATAGCTGAACTGATGGGGGGAGAGGGGAGGAGGTTTCTATCCAGGGATGAAGTTCCAGTAGAAAAGAAGAGGGAAAGTAGAAAGACTAGGCACAAAGTAGTTGATGGAATGAGACTCTGATATGAGCCTTGTGCATCTAGTATTACTGGTGGCCTTGGAAAGCACTTCTAAGGTAGGGTTGGATATAGCAATTAGGGGTTTGTGAGGCTATTAGTGAACAATACTTATGTCCCTTTTGCTTTTCTTCTCTCCGCCACCACCCCACCCCAAAAGAAGACAATATCATTGTTGTAAACGAGAAGGAGATTTTATTTGAGCTGAGCAAAACAAATGTTTGCTGTACGATACTGCAGATTGTTCATAAAGTGGCCTTTATGAACGGGGGCTGCCCCTCTACCAGAGAAGGTCTTTCTTGATAACTTTGGTACCTTCCTATGGCAGTCAGGAGCCTAGGAATGCAAACAAGCCTGGAGAAACATCTGAGTCTTTAGCTCACCTGAAGTAACTGTGGCTTTTATTTCTTGCTTTTCTGGGCCCAGGGCAGCGTTGGACAGTTATTTTCAACTCAGCAGGACCCAAGAGCCCACTACAGGACCCGTCCTGCGTCTGGAGCCATCGCGTGTCCCAAGGGACAACCAGGAACCCAGCTCAGATGAAACAGTAGAACTGAGCGACTCTGACAGCAGCTCTTCTGCTGAGGAGGAGGAGGAGGAAGCAGTGGAGGCTGCAGCACCGCTGTTACCGTCAGCCCAGGAGACGCCTCCAGCAGCCAGCCCAGGAGGTTTGTGCTATATTTGAGCTGTGTAGAGTGACTGATTTCAGAAACTCATCTCACTCTTTCAAAACTCGGTGGGGAAATCCTTTCGAGCTCCACAACAGACGGTGCTGAGGGATCATCATGCCCACAGCTGATGGGAGGAGGCTGCTGCCACAAGGCTTTCTGGCAGGTGGTTCCTCAGAGCAGTAGCAGCAATGGGTGACTGCTACCCTAATGTTAAATACAGTCGTCTTGCTATTTGCAGGCTGCTGCTCCTAAGTAATCCTGGAAGTGTTCAGAATAACTTCACGTTGAGAGATCAGTAATTAGAACACTTCTGCGGTTATAACTTACCAAGGAGTATCATTGGAGACATCAAATTGCATCTCTGGAGGTCAACGGTGCTTTCAGTTTTCAGAGGAGGATCTGATTCAGTATTTTTTAAAATTATTTGTGATTTCAGTCTGCTTCGGTTTAGAGTTTTCTTGTCATTCCTGCAACATCTTGTGTCACTCAGCTGAGGAGGCAGAGATACTTAGGATGGTGGGCTTTTTGGTTGTCTCTCTCTTGCCTCAGCTTTTTCAGGCTCGCAATCCTTTATCTAGACTCACGTTTGCAGGCTGCTACACACTTCAGGGACGTTGTTTGTGATGAACATATGCAGTTTATGTAAGAGTGCCAAAGAGTTAATTTGCTATCCGAGGTTGATGTCCAGAGAATATGAGAACAAGACTTTTCTTTTTTTTAATTTTTGTGCTTTGTTTCAGTCTCTGCGGAATGCCTTTATGTTTCAGTCTCTGCCCTCAGGTTTGGTTTTGACTGGCCAGCCCACCTTGACACCTTTTTCTGAGGGCACATCTATGAGGTGTCTTTTTAACAGATTCATTCTGCTTGCTCTGAGCTATTCCTGCACGTGACAGGAGCTCAAGCTGTTAAGTGCTGTGTAATACTGTGTGACCATATGCTCTCTGTTGGGTTTTCTGGAATTCCCTTGCCTTTTTTGCTTATATAAGCCTCTGGTTCCCGTTGAGCCCATAACCATACGGGCTGAAAGCTATATTGATGTTAGCTAAGGTTAGGTGATGCCTCTCCACTGGACTGAGAATATCTGCCTCAAATACTAAATGTGACTAATAACTCTTTTGTTTTGTCAGGAGGTGGAGGAGACAGTGATTTCTTCTTCTTTTATAGTATGCTAGTGGTGGTAACCCAACTGCAGCATTTCTCTGTGCCTGTGTTTCACCAGAAGGGCTAACAGAGGCCCACCACAAAAGCATGTGGCCCAGCAGAACTGATAGTTCAGATCTCAAGCAGCTTTCCAGCTGGTAGTTTCAGGGTGAATGGACAGATAATATATGGTAAATGCTTTCTTGGCACATGAAATATGCATGCTTAGGTCCCCTGGCAAAATAACTTATTTGTATTGGGGTCTGTGTTTCTCTGGGCATAATGGTGCAAGGTTGTAGCCTGAAATTAGCTTAACTATAGACCTGTACACAGATATGTCTGTTTCCAGCAGGTCATAAAAATACTGAAAATTTCTGTTTTTAAAAGACCTCTCATCTTTTGCTGAATATGCTGAATTTCTGCTGCTTTCTATAAAAGAAAGCATAAAGTTCTTCAGCACTATCGTTGGTGAATAGAAGACTCCCTGACTTTCAGTATCCAGGACACTGATCTGAAGCTTTGTATGTAGCCTGTGCTGCTTGTTGCACTGCTTATCTTATGCCCCAGTGATTTCAGATCAAGTCAGGTCCTTTCCCCCCCCTGTTATCTATCACTTTATTTAAGCAATGCTTTCTTTAGTTTCCAATCAGGTCCAAGCAGAGCCACCTCAAGCTTTGTCTCAAGCTTCTGCAGAAGATGGCAGTCATGAAAATGAAGAAGCTGAAGGCCAGCAAAAGCAGGTAAGGTGACCTAAGTCCTTTCGGAGATAGATTAAATATGGTAAATGCTGCATTTGACTAAAAAAGCGGTGTGGTTTTGTTTATTTAATCCTAGAGAACTCCACTAAAGAAACCAGAGCCATCAGTGCCTGTAGCTGTGCTGGATGAGGAGGAAGGGGATACCTGTGCCATCTGCTTTGAGCAGTGGACCAACGCTGGGGACCACCGCCTCTCGGCCTTGCGGTGTGGACATCTGTTTGGTTACACGTGCATTGAGAGGTGGCTCAAGGGACAGGCAGGGAAGTGCCCCCAGGTAAAATGGACATTTGTGTGCACTGGGATGGGTAACTTCTGCAGGTGTGGTCACTGTAACTGTTACAGCTGCTTGTTGCGTGGAGAAGCCACCTCTGCCAGCTGTCAGAAACAACAAAAATCACCGCTATTTTGATGTAATTAGGCTAGGAACAACAAGCAGTGCTTTAAAGGGAGAATCCTGACTTGGATTTTCTTCCTGAACTAGAGCATTTTTGAGTAGCAGACTCAGAAGTTTGAGAATTCAAGTGCTGAACCTGTAAATGGCTTCAGAATGCTGCACTGTGGTCCTGCAGTGTGGGAGTAGCAGGGAGATGCCTAGAAGCAATTAACTAAGCATAAAGAATACCTTATTGGGCAAGAGATCTGTTTGAGAACTGTTTTCAGTCGGTTAATCTTCTGTTTTGAACTGCATCTGCTTTTGCAGCCTTTCCACAGACCAGGTTGTTAAGGTGGCTTGCAGAGAGCCAACTGAGAAAGAAGTTGGATCCTTTAATGTCCGTTCGCAAGTGGCAGATCTGCTTTTTAAGGTGCTATTTTCAGCTTTGTTTCCATGGGCAGTACCAATCTCTTTTGATTAGGTCTCCACTTCTCTTGTGATGTGCTTCCATTCCTTATTCCTTTTCTCCAGAAAGGAATGTTGACCAAAAGGAAATAAATAGGTCAATGAGTACCTTGTAAATAGGATTCAGTTCTGCCGCTTTCCAAGTCAGTGGCTGGAAGCCCAGGATTTCTTTGGCTTTGTCGTTTTGAGAGCTTCCATAGTCTTCCTTGACTCTACAGGTTTTCCTCCTCTGAACAAGAAACTCCCTGTTGATGTGTGCTGTGATCAAACCTAAAGAATCACTGTTGCCATAGCAAAGGCCCAAACCTTTTTTTTTTTTTTCTCTTATCCTTGTCAGTTTTGTGTGAGATTTTTTTTGTCTTGGCCTGGAGTGGGTGAAGAATTCTCCAAGACCTTCACGCATCTTCGCTATTTGGCATTTTGTGACTGCTTTTTCTTGAACCCTAGCAACTCATAAGAGGTGCTTGCTCCCTCTTTTTCTTCCGTTGATGTAATTACTGAAAGCTTTCTGGGAGAACTTCTTGCTCTGGAGAAAACCTTGCAGCTAAATCGCCTTCCCTTCGTTTTCAGTCGCCGTCCTTTGCGACTGGCTGTTCTCTGATTGAATAGCAGGGAGCTGGTGTGTGTGGTGCTGTGTATACCAAGTGGCTGGAGTGCAAGTTACTGTGAAATTGCAGCATTCCTGATCCTGCCAGTGACGGCCGCTGGCTGCCAGGAGAGCTGTCCCAGCCACCCACTGCTTTGCACAAAGGGAAGGGGGGGTTGTCTGATCTGAAACAGTCGCCCGTGGTATCTTCGTGCTACTAAATAATAGAGATGTCTGCGTTTTAAGCGCACGTAGTAATTTAATGTTCAGCGGAGGTTACTTGATCTGAGTATTCACTGCCTCTTTTCTCGTCAACAAAGTATATTTGCAAAACAGTAAGCTTGCAGGCACTGCAATTTCTTCCTAGTCCCAACTCAGAGGGAGGTATTATCCCTTCTTTTTAAGGAGAATCTAAAGTACTAAATAGTCACAAGCCCACACAATTATTGAAATATCTGACTCCCTGTGTGTCACTGAGATCAGTGGGATGTCGGTGTTTCATGCTGGCACTGGAATGCTTTTATGGATTTGGGCCTATAGGATTTGATCAAAGGACTACAGTATGTAAGTAAGAGTTGGGAGTATGCTCAGGGGTTCCCAAAGCAGCCAGTCTTGATGTTTTCAAAATAGAAATTGGGTTGGTGTTTTGGTTTAGACGTTTCCCCTGCTCCCCCCTACCTCTTGGTCTGGTTTTCTTTTTCTTTTTGTTATTGCTGGAACTTGCCTGACCATTCTGTGCTGCTGGTGCTTTAGCAGAACAAATTCAATGGGAAGCAAGGTGATGTGTTATTAAAGATGCAATAGGATACACGACCTAAAACTGTTGTTATAGCCCCAATGAGAGCTCTGGTGTCTTTATGAGGGAGCGTCTTGCAAAAACCCTGTGGTATGGTTGTGCTTTTGTGGACTTAGCCTCAAATAGACAGGTAGACAGCCCCTCCCTTAAAAACTGTATGAATTTTTGGGAATAATGCCTAGCGTAGGCATAGGGGTGCGTGATTTGGGTAGTTAAATCCTTGTAGATGAACTGAACTTGTCTTTTATTCCAGTGCAATAAGAAAGCGAAGCGCTCTGACATCGTGATCCTGTACGCTCGGACGCTGAAAGCGCTGGACACCAGTGAACAGGAGCGCATGAAAAGGTACAGGGTCTCCACCTAGAGATACACCCTCACTGATTGCAAAGCTGCAGTCTGCCTTCCACCTCAGGCTTACATTTCCTCTATTGTCTAAAGCAATTTGTGCATTCCCTCGGGGATTATCATGAGTACGGCTGTCTTAAGACCAAGCCCTCGCTGGGCTGCACGTGTCTCACCTGGAAGGAGAATTTTCTTTGGAAAATTCAAGAAACGGAATTCTTGAGTTTGTGCTTTGCGGCCCTGAAATAATGGAAGCTGTCTTGTGCTGTATCCTGAAATGTCATCACGGGAGAACATGCAGAGTTGTTGCCAAAAAGCAGTATATTGCTAATTCATCATTAGATGAGAAAAGCGAGGCATAGTTAGAAATGCAAGAGGGGTGAGTAGCTGACCTTTTCTGCCATCTTTTCTGCATGCATTAAACAGAGTAATCTCTCATATGAATCACTTTCCATCTTGCTTTGTCAAACTCTTCATGTAGCTTTACTTACAAAAGGTCAGCCAGCATTACGATGACTCTGCTTCCCCCTCCAACTTAAATGTAGACTCCTTATTGAAAAAAAGGAAAAGCAGGTATGAAAATGGGGACTAATTTCTTTTCAATAAGATGCTGTCACAGATACTATTCTGAAATTACAGGGCTGCAGATATCTGAGTTCTCCTGAGTCTTGTAGTGAATAGAATTTAATTGGGGTCTTTAGATGTCTCTAACTCTGCTCTTCTTTCAATGCAGTCTTTCGACAGAAACCTCGCTCTCCTGGTAATTATTGATCAGAAATGATTGAGGAGTAAATGTCACAAAGGGAAAATCTTTTCTGTCCAGCTAACCGCTGCGTGATAGTGTTTGAACCGTACCTTAGAAGGGTCACGCTGCTTTTACTAGATCCACACTGCAAAACAAACTATAAATAAGAGCACAGGAGGCATTGGGTGTTCAAATTTTGTTATCTCTCTAACTGGTGCTTGTGTCTGAGTCTGGCTGCAGCCCTTCCCTGCTTGCCCTGCCCCTCCTTTGTCTCCTGGTGGCTGCTGTCAGTCTGGTTCAGCTGCTGGCCCTGGCTGGTTGGTGGCACACAGCCACCAGCAGAGGACAAACGCCAGTGCTGATGCACACGTCGATATCGCTTGTGCGTAGCCTTGAATTGGGTATGAGATCCTGGGGTTTGTTCTTCACATGCCAAAAAAAGGGCAGCCTTCAGGCTCTGGGTGTTTGTGTAAAGAATGTGTCCGCGATGGTTAAATACAGCATTTCACCTGTTTCTTATGCAGCAAAAAAAACTGTGTGAAGGTGCTATGGGGAAATGACAGAATTCTGTGCTTGGTAAATATGCACGGCTAGGTTTGTATATTTGGAAGGTACTTAGGCAAGTGAGATCTCCCTGCACATCAGCTACTGAAATAAATGAAATATTGCTGCTTTCGAAGTGCAGAATGTAGTGGTCAATGTTACAGACCAAATGTGCAGATAATTTTATGGAGTGTTGGTGTTTCTTCCCTCTCTTAACTACTCCTTCATATATTAAGCATATATGAAAGACAAATTGAAGTTATGAAAACTGCCACTGCTAAATTGTGTGTATGCACTTTTAGGCTCAAGGTGAGGTGTTAAATATGGCTTCTCTGTGGGCATTCACAGAGAAATTATCTGTATCTATTTCTGATACAGCTATATCTTCCTGAAATAAAATTGGTTCCCGGTAGTAGAAACAAGCTTGACAATATTGCTGTGTTACTGACGTGGTATATTACAGTGGATGTTGATGGTATAGAATTTGCTAACCTGCTTCTGTAGTGGGGGGGGAAAAACCCCACCCTGATTTCTCTTTCGCTCTCCTCTACTAAATTAGCACACTTGGAGAGGGTGAGGAGAAAAGCTGTTGTTTCTATGGTACAATACTTGAGTGAGTCATTCATTGCATAACCGAGAACATCTCGAGGTGAATGTACTGCCTGAGTGTGGTACCAGATCTTATCTTACTCCTGAATTCACGGGAGTGGTACCCGTGTTGGGATGCAGTGTGGGGACAGGAACAGGCAGCCCGGAGAAGCATCCCAGGCAGTACCTACTCCTAAAGGTTGCTTTTTCTTCTCGTTCTTCCAGCTCTTTAGAAAAGGAACAACTGTTGAGGAAACAGGCAGAGCTGGAATCTGCCCAGAGTCGTCTCCAGCTGCAGGTTTTGACAGACGAATGCAGCAAACTCCGCAAGCAAGTTCAGGTGAGCCTCATGCAGAGGAGTCCTTCTTCTCTTCAACCTGCCTCTTCCCTCAGAGGAGACAGGCTTCCGGTTTTAATTAGCAGCAAGATTCAGTGAACTCAATTGGTGAATCATCAGGAGTATTATAAACATCCCAGACTGGCATATTCATGTATACTACCTGTGCTTCTAAGACTTAATCGAGTTGCAAATGCAGCTTAGTGGTAGAGGGGTTTTTTCTTTTGGCTGCTGATGTTGCAGGTTCCTCAGGTCATGGTGCCTGGCAAAGCCTGGTGATACGGCACCAAACTAATTCTCCTCATCTTCCTCTTAACTGCATCAAAATAAGCTTTGAAAATCTCTGTGGTAAACCCGTGACGGACCTGTTATCTCTAGTTAGCCAAGAGCCTTTGAGAAGTAGCTTGTGAAGAGGTAGGGCTGTTTGCAACACCACGAGAACAACAGAAAAACCACCTAGTTTTTTTTTGGTGAAAGTCAGTCAACGTTCCACTTAAGCACCTTCTGGTGCCCAGAGAGCTGGGCTGTCGATGGCACAGGCTGGATGCAGGGGTTGGACAGCTGCTGAGAGGCACCTCTGTCCCCTTAGAGTGCAAATTGCTGAAAATAAATGACTGGTTGCTAAACGACTGCTTCCCTTCTGGCTCCTGCAATACTGGGATGTTTTGTAACCCATCCCAGCTGCTTCTGCAGGATTCCTATAAATTCTGGACTTCACTGATGCTTCCAACTGTGAATTATCTGGCATGTTCCACCAGTGCTAGGTTTTCCAATAGCCTGTTTCACAGCCAGTGTGCTACTTATTTTTTTGTTGTTGTTGTATGAAGTAGATGGTATCTAATCTCTCACTGTCTAGTAACTCACTTAATTTCATGCTTTTCTTTACTTCTGGATTTTTTTTATAGCCTTGGCTATTTATGTCTGTACATTGAGCAACATCCTCTGCTGAAGTCTTCCCGTGTGATTTAAGATAAGGCTTTATAAATTCCTTGCCTAAATTCCTGCATGAAGTTCATCAGAGCTAATAAGAAAATGGGTCCACTTTAACCTTTGGCCTAAAGAAAATGTGACTAAAATAAAACTGCAGGTCCACAATGTTTTCCTGCAATTCTTCTGGTGTTAAATGATAGAGTATCCAGTCAAAGTGAATTGAAGTCGCATGTTCTAAAGATTAAGTATCCTGTGTTCTTTAAGCTCTGTTTCAGTATTTATACTGCATTCATCACTGTCCTGTAGTGGTTAATGGGAACGCTGGAAGCAATTTTAAGGTGCTTGTCTATACTACGAATAAACCCAAAGTAAGACAATTTGCTGGGGAACAAAAAATCAGCAGGAAGTCTGGAATAAGTCACTGAGTTGCTTGATTGTATTTTGAGGGTATGCCTAACGAGCTCCTTGTCTTAGGAGAGGTAATCTAGTATAGCAACCACCTGCATGGAGATGTTTGGGCTGGAAGGGACCCTGGTTGGGTAACTTCAGGGTCAGGCTGGGTTGCTCAGGGCTCTGTCACCCCAGGAGTGGAGTGTGTGCAAGCAGATCGCACGGCTTCTCTGGACATCTCATTGTTTGAACATCCTCACGGAGACTTTTTCCTCTCTCCCCTCCAACATCTAATCTGAATTTGCCTTGTTACATCTTGAGTCTGTTGCCCTGCTCCTTTCAGCCAGCCAGGTTACTGATGGCGCAAGGAAACATGTTTAATTGGCACACAAAGCTGCAAGTCAGTCTAGAAAACAAAGTGCTGGGGGATGACAAAAGGAACGTCCGAAATGTCCGTGTGCTCAGGGGGACATTTGGTATGGCAAAGTTCAGTTGCACAAACTTTATTGGGATAGTTATGATGTACATTGGTTGCCTGCAAACTGTTGTGTCTGAATTTTTAGGGGAAGCAAATTGGTTGAATTGGTTGAAGCTGCCATTGGTTCCCCCCCAAAAGTCGTTGTGTGAACCCTTTTTTGTTGCTAACTTGCCCAAGAGCTGTGCCTCGGCAGCAGTCGTGTCACTAGTTAGAACCTTTTATGTTTGTACGTGTTTTTCCCTGCTGTTGTCCACTAACAGTCTTGTCCATTGGACTTTGTTGTTGAAGTTAAGATGACTGAGGCTAGAAAAGGGATGGTTTGAAGTCTTTAGCTATATGAAAATATGTGAGGAAAGGAACTTGAGGGGAGAGAGGGTCGGAAGCTAACTAGAGCCCTGGCAGAAAGCTCTCGGCGGTGGTGTTCCTACATGTGAGCCTGCCGTGGGTGCTGTGCAGAGCTGTGTGCTGCACACTGCCTGGCAGCTTCAGGCTTGAATTTTGGAAGTGGTGCTACCAAAATGTGTAGGGAGGAGGTTTTGGGGTTCTTTTTTGCCTAAAGATTTTCCTTTGTGAGCAAAAAGAACTTGAGAATCAGATGGGAGCTACTGCAGTACTCCTCCAAAATTTTTAATAAAAGTTAGCTAATGGTAAGCAAACCACCTCTGGCTTCTGGCATTAATACCACTGATCAGCTGGGATAGGAGATCCATTTTTTTCAAATGGGAAGCAGTCGCTTTGTTTCTATTTGGAGCAGTAAAGGGAGGACTGACAGGAAAGTGACAGAAAACTGCATGCTGCTGTAAAGAAGAAAGTGTCATAGTGAGGCTTGCAGAGGTCAGTTTATATTTCTTGAGATAGATATATATATATTTTTATATATATATATTTAAAAACTTTTTTTTTTTTAAATAGGATTTTCAGGTCATGCAAAAAGAATTGGGTGGCAATATATCAATAAAAACTTGTGAACTTAACTCCTTTAGAAGAGTTTTAGGCTAATGGTTTTCTTGCATCAAAATTTTTCACCTTTGGGATCTTCGTGTTCACCTCCAGGTGGTGTCTGGGGAAGATCTAGAAATAAACCCTGATGCCTCAGTCAGCTGTTACATAGATTGAAGCCGATTAAAAGTGCTCTGTGTCCCTTTTGACTGAATTTAAACCTGAACCAAAGGAGGGTGAAATGCCTGTAGTGCTGTACTGCAGTTTGAGGTGTTTGTCATCATGTTTTTCTCTCTTCGATGTGAGGCTGGGGCTGTGTGGTGCAGGACCAGCAGTGGGAGCACAGCCAGAGAGGGACAGCCATCTGATAACCACCTTTTGTCCTCAAAGCCTCCTATGGGCTATTAAAACTGTAACCTAATACTCAAAAGAAAACAGTTCTGTATTTGTTGCAGCTGGTGGTTTTCCTTCCCTGTTCATTGTGCTTTCCTCCTTCTCATGCATACTCCTCAGGAAGACTTCTGCTGTGTATCCTCTTCTTTCCCCACTGTCTTCATTCAAGCTGAAATCTAGGAGGTAGTCATAGTGTGTGGAGAGACGAGTGTGCCCTCGAGGCCCTTAGTCAACACCAGGAAAACTCTGCAAACCTCTTAAAAGAAGGTACAGGCTCCTACTACCAGACTAGTGTTCTTTTGAGCACAATTAGTGGAATTTGTTCTGCAGTGCAGCACTTCTAATCACCTTGGTAATGTGTCTCCAGTAAGACTTTCTGATTCTGCTGGGTTTGTCCATTGTGTTTAAATGGAAGCATTGTACTAATAGTCCTTGTGGCTGTAATTGCCTGGTTTCCTTTTTAATAACTTGTGTAAAAGTTGAATGTTGAATGCAGGTGATAAGGAGAGCTTTGTAAACTCCCCAGAGGAACAAATAATTTTAATCTCTTCTGACCCTCAGTGGTGGTGATATTCTCCTGCCTTTTAGAAATAATGAGTTTATTAATTTTTTTTATTAAGAGTAATTTTCTACTAAGTTACCAGTGTTTTCATTGACTGCTTACTCTAAGCCTGAAGCTATAGCTGCCATTGCAAGCATCCCTGCACCCCCCACCTCTTCTTCCTCCCCAGGTTCTTTTGTCTTTACTTGCTCTAATGGGATCATCTTGAGTCTTCAGCTTTGATTTTTATTCCCTCGGGGAATTTGCAATGCGCTTGATGCAAAACAGATCAGACCTCTGTAAAATATCATAATTCCTCTCCTCTTGAACAGTTTCCAGAAGTTAGAGGTCTTGATGATGACTATTAATGTAGAGCTTGATCTTTGACCTTGCCTCTTTGAGAACTGCTGCCTCTGCTTAGATGTGAGTTAAGTGGTAGTGGCTGGTTCAATATTGAAGCTAGCTTTCGGTCTACTAATATATTCATAATATCACTCCTGTGGCCTTTAATTGTTTAAAAATTGCATAGTATTTCAATCTATGTTGCTCAGACAAGAGAAAGCAAGTAGTAGTTTTCTTAATATATACGCTCCCTCTGATATCTCTGGGGTTCTGTACTGTCTGGTTTTGCCCTTGGATTACAAGAAGTTGGTCAAAATGCTTTTTTTTGGAGGGGGTGGAAGGGAGGGCATTTTTAGTTGACTGATAATATGCCAGTGCCACTACTTGCACACCCATCCCACCCCTGATGATCTCTGTGGAAAAAGGAATTCTAGAAGTACCTCATTGCTGGTGGAAGCTGTCCTTGGCCACGTCTCTGCTGAGCATCCTTCAGCACTCATCACTTGAGGGGGAGGAAGAGAGGGGGAGGAGGTGGTGGAAAACAGGGCCGGAGCTCTTGAGAGTTGTGTCGTTCCTGGAATTTGCTGCTCGGGGTTTACAAGAACAGGGTCATCTTCATTAAATAGACCAACTTGTTTCCTGCAACGCCCTTTCTGTTGAAACTTGGGCTTTTATTTTTTTATGGGGTATTCTGGAAATTCTGGAAAATGGTTCTAATTGACTTTCTCTTGTGGTTTAGCTGCATGTAATACTTGGCAGTTCGTTCTCTTCTAAACAGCATTGATCTGGTAATAATTGTTATTGGCTTTTATGTGTTGCCCGAGAGTCCTGTCTCTCACAGGGTCTAATATATACAATAACACACTCGGAGTACATTCTGCCAGAACTTGCATAGCATTTCAATGCTTTTGTTGCTCGCTCTCATAGTCAATGGAGTTGGAAATCCAGCATTTGAGGAGTGGCGTGGAAATTGCACCATATTCCCCCTCTTTCTCTGAGAGCAAGTCCAGTTGGAGCATCTGAAAGAGAGAGCACAAAAGGTGACGTCGCATTAAAGCTCTTTGGGTCTTTCTCTTTGCAGGAGCTGAAGGCTCTGGTGGCCCAGCACAACGTGAGTGCTTCTCAGCAGCCCAGCAGCTCCCGCACCTTCCTCCCAGGCAGCATCCCCTCCAGCCAAAGCCAGCGCAAGTACCACTTGGAAAAGGTCTTTGTGGTGTCCCAGGCAGGGAACTGCAGAGTGATGGCATACTGCGACTCGCTGAGTTGCCTCGTGGTATCACAGCCTTCTCCACAGTCTACTTTTATTCCTGGTAATTAAGCGAGTTGAGATTTGGGGTTTCATAGGTGAAAGTTAAATGTTTTTTTCTACTTGCTCCCCGCTCCCCCCTTCTCTTGCTTGGCCTTTGCATGTGCCTTGTAAACTGGGAATGCTCAACAAGACTCCCTGTCGTCCATCTGGCCCCTGCACTGGTAGCTTCTGCCAAGCCAAGGAGCTTGTTTGCCCCATCACTTCTCTGGCAGAATTTTAGCAGGGGCTCTCTGGCTTTTCTGCTGAAGTGTCACATCCACAGGAAGGTAGAAGGTGTGTCTGGTGCTCTGTGATGAAGATGTGAGGATGATCCTGTGCAAAAAAAAAATACAAGTGGGTCTTCTAAAAGAGCAAGGGGCTGGTGCACAAGGGCTTGTAGAGAAGTTTCCAGCGCTTGAGTGAGAAACATCACTCCCCAGGTGGGAGGGGGGTTGATCCACATGCAGCTGGTTTGTCAATACTCTTCAACAAAAAAAAAGAAAAAGAAAGAAAATGGAAAACCAAAAGCAAAATAAAGGAATCTAATATGAATGATAGCTCTATTTCCCAGTGAGGAAATAAGAAGCCAAGAAGTCATGGGCAGCCCCGATTCTGTCTCACTGTTAACAGCCTGAGGCAAGTGACCTGACGTCTGGACCAGTGCCAACTTCCCTTTTTTTCAATAAAATAGATGCAGCATTAGGAGCCCGAGAGTTTATTTGCAAAGTACTTCAATGCTTTCTGAATGATGAAGCTTAACTTTATTTGGGGAATGGTTTGGAAATTAATATGCCTTATCTGGGCATAAGGGAATTGTTTTTCCGAATTCAACTGACCTTATTTTTTTTCTCTGAATGGGAGGCTTTGTGGTGACTCTTGTAGCACACAGGTTAAGTTCACCTGTAAGCATTCTTTGCAGTGACACTTGTCCTCTTAAATAGCCGTGTAATCCTACTGGGTGTGGTTTTTATCTGGGCAAGAAGGTCTTTGAAGAAACCGGCTAAAGAGCAGCAGGCTCTTGTCACGGGAGTTGTAACACTGCTGCTGGGTTTGCCCTTGCTGGCTGGCATCCTGGGGGATTTAGCCTTGTTGCCATTTGAACTAAAGAACAATTTGTGGCAGTTCTTGTCCAGAACAGCAAATAACTTGTATGAATTCATCCCCCCACAGGTTTCAGTAAAGATATTATTATTCTGGTGTAGAATTCCTAGTTCTACACAGAGGCTGCTCTGCGATAACCTGCTTTTATCTTCCTTCTGTGTCAGGTTGTGGTGTGAAGATGATGAGCGTGGCCAACCTGAAGAGCAGTCAGTACATCCCCATCCACAGTAAGCAGATCCGGGGCCTGGCTTTCGGCCGGCGAGCGGATGGTTTGCTGCTCTCTGCTGCTCTGGACAACACTCTCAAACTGACCAGGTGAGCCCTGCTCGGGGGAGAAGCCTGGCCCAGCCGAGTTTGGCTGCGTGCAAGAGGCTGGGTTGGGTTTTTGTTCTGTCTTGCTAGAAATGTCTTACAGCACTTGCTGTTGTGCTTTCCAAAAGATGCTGCTGAGGTGAGCTCAGGTCTGCATGTTCTTCCTGCATGTGTGCACTAGCAGAGAGAGAGACTTGTTCATGCTTTCACATCTTTTAGGTGGAGGTTTTATAGAACTACCTGTCTCTGATAATTTTCTGGTGGAGGATTCAGTGCAGAACAAGGTCAGGTCTGCATGTTCTTCCTGCATGTGGGCACTAGCAGAGAGAGAAACTTGTTCATGCTTTCACATCTTTTATAGAACTACCTGTGTCTGATCATTTTTCTGGTGGAGGATTCAGTGCAGAACAAGTAATTCAACATGGATTGGCCAAGTTGTGTTGAGGAGAAAAAAAAAAAAGGTAGCATGATATATGGATGTGAAATTTACTCATGTGTGAAGCATGGGAACTCCTGGCATAAAACAGAAACAAGGGGTGTTTAGGTTGGGAGCTTTCATCCCTGAGCTAATGTTGGCTTTTAAACTTCTTGCAGAGCACGGAATTGATCTGGGAGATGAAATGTCTAGGCAGCAATTGCTGAGCACCTGCTAGAGGAACACAGGTTCTCTAGAGCTAGTGGAGATTTGGAGCAGCACTTTGGAGGCTCATTATGCAAAAGCTGAGAGAAAAACATGTCCAGTCCTGTTAGAATTTACAGCTTATGAAGTGTGTTTTCTTGCTACTCTGCTGCTCTTCCATCTTAAGCTGCCTCAAAACTTCGTTGGCTGATTCTTATTGAGTTATTTTAACATCTCGATGCACATCTGCCAGTGTAGGGCAGGAGACGTGTCTGTTACATGGCTGATTATTCCCAATTCTTTCCCACGAGTGAAACAATGAAGAGAACTTAATCCTGCAGCAAAAATGTAAAGAATGTTGCTTTCCTGCCACCATGTTGAAATGTTTGCTAGACTAGTTAAAAGTAAACAAAACTGTCTCTGATGCTGAAGTCAGATTTCTAACCGATGAGGTTGATACTCTTTTCATGGCTTAACCTGGAGAACTGCTGCTTGTTGCAATCTCTGCTCAGGCACTTGCCTTGTGGTGCTCTTGCTTTTGTGCTTGATCCCAGAGTGTCTTGGAGTTAAGTGTTTGCTCCAGCAGCACCTTCATACTTCTTTCAGTCTCTCTCTGAAAGAAAAGTCCTCCTTTGGTCATCTTTCTTCTCTAGTTACTGATTACATAGTCATCCTGCCAGCAGGGATTATCCACAATGTCATTAATCTCCAAATAGCACCATGACTTTGGGGTGGTTTTCCTGTTGTTTTGAACCCATCGCTGTTCTGATACCAAACCCTGCCTTAGCCAAACCTGGCTGGGGAAAACTTTGTGGTTCTTCCCCTTCTACTTACCGGGGAGCAATGACTCACTTCTCAGGAGTTCTGAGCGTAATCACCTTCCCCAGGGAGAAGCCCACCCTGTGTGTTGTGAAGGGTGTCCAGAGTCCCTCTGAGCTGTGCTGTCCCCTCGTCTCGCACTGTTCTCGATGTGCTGAGCCCATGTTGACTATTGCCCTTTGCAAATCCGTCCCCCTCCGACACCACCTTCATCTGCCATTCTGGCTTGTGCCCCTCCGTGTACTCCCCTCTTCTTCCTTCCACAAATGGAGTTTCTAAAGAATTAACACTATAAATCTGCTCTTAACCCCACTCGCTGCCTCACCCTTGTCTGAACTGTAGCCTTTTGAAGCATAAGCGCTGTTTCTCTTTGTGTAAATAGAGGGAAATAATTAATGAGAGATGTAATCTGAGGAGAGGAGCCCTGTGATCTCAGGAATATGTGGTATTACGGGATTACACTAGAGTTGCTTCTCCTAATTGTTTCCAGAAAAGTAACTTTGCTTTCCCTTTCCAGTAAGGCAGTCGAGACCCTGCTCTGAGATTTCCTTTTCCAGTCTCCAAAGATCAATCTGGAGAAAGAAGCATTGGCCTGGAAGAATTATAAATCACTGGACAATATCCCAGTGATTATTCTGTCTAGATTTTCCGGGTTCATGTCTGGAGTAAAGGAGGAGTTAATTCAGAATTCAGTCTGAAGAGAGATGCTCGCTTCTGTCTTAAAGACTTTAAAAAGCCAGATTTGCTTACCTTAATGATGCTATTTTCTCATCAGTAGATGCTTGTGCAATGGGCCAACGCTTTGCTTTTCTTCTGCAGCTTGGCAACAAACACTGTGGTGCAGACGTACAACACTGGCCGTCCTGTCTGGAGCTGCTGCTGGTGTCTGGATGATACCAACTACATCTACGCTGGCCTGGTCAACGGCTCTATCATGATCTATGATTTGAGAGACACCAACTCTCACGTCCAGGAGCTAGTCCCTCAGAAATCCAAGTATGGCATAAGGATTTTTCATTCCTCTCCACTTCTCTGATATACATTAAGCTAAAAATAGCTTCTTCCGTAAACCCCACAGCAAGTGTAATAGTTTAAATTGGTTTATGTGAATCTCTTGTTCAAAAATTCAAATTCAACGCCGATGGTAGAAGCCTCTCATAAGGCTGCATGGTGTGTGTATAATTTGGTATGAGTGCTTGGCACCTGCACCTTCTTAAGGCACACAGTGGTGAGAAATGGACCCACCAGTGCAGTCTGAGCAGGAGAACTGAATTTGTTTTGGAGCTGGATTTAGTATTTAATTTGGAAACGACAAATGACAAGAGGTGTGAGATGCCTCCACCTCTTCTACTCAGGGAATCAATGCTGATTTACACGCATCTGACATGGGCTGTTCTGATGCTAGTAGGGAGGTGATTGTGCCCCTGTACTCGGACCCACCGGTGCGGTCTAAGCAGGAGAACTGAATTTGTTTTGGAGCTGGATTTAGTATTTAATTTGGAAACGACAAATGACAAGAGGTGTGAGATGCCTCCACCTCTTCTACTCAGGGAATCAATGCTGATTTACACGCATCTGACATGGGCTGTTCTGATGCTAGTAGGGAGGTGATTGTGCCCCTGTACTCAGCACTGGTGAGGCCACACCTCGAGTGTTGTGTCCAGTTTTGGGCACCTCAATACAAGAGAGATCTGGAGGTGCTGGAGCGAGTGCAGAGGAGGGCAACGAAGCTGGTGAGGGGGCTGGAAAACAAATCGTATGAGGAGCGGCTGAGGGAGCTGGGGCTGTTTAGTGTGAGGAAGAGGAGGCTGAGGGGAGACCTCATCACTCTCTACAACTACCTGAAAGGACACTGTAGAGAGGTTGGGGCTGGTCTCTTCTCGCAGGTAATTAGTGACAGAAGGAGAGGGAACTGCTTCAAGGTCCAACAGGGGAGGGTACGAGTGAAACAATGAAGAGAACTTAATCCTGCAGCAAAAATGTAAAGAATGTTGCTTTCCTGCCACCATGTTGAAATGTTTGCTAGACTAGTTAAAAGTAAACAAAACTGTCTCTGATGCTGAAGTCAGATTTCTAACCGATGAGGTTGATACTCTTTTCATGGCTTAACCTGGAGAACTGCTGCTTGTTGCAATCTCTGCTCAGGCACTTGCCTTGTGGTGCTCTTGCTTTTGTGCTTGATCCCAGAGTGTCTTGGAGTTAAGTGTTTGCTCCAGCAGCACCTTCATACTTCTTTCAGTCTCTCTCTGAAAGAAAAGTCCTCCTTTGGTCATCTTTCTTCTCTAGTTACTGATTACATAGTCATCCTGCCAGCAGGGATTATCCACAATGTCATTAATCTCCAAATAGCACCATGACTTTGGGGTGGTTTTCCTGTTGTTTTGAACCCATCGCTGTTCTGATACCAAACCCTGCCTTAGCCAAACCTGGCTGGGGAAAACTTTGTGGTTCTTCCCCTTCTACTTACCGGGGAGCAATGACTCACTTCTCAGGAGTTCTGAGCCTAATCACCTTCCCCAGGGAGAAGCCCACCCTGTGTGTTGTGAAGGGTGTCCAGAGTCCCTCTGAGCTGTGCTGTCCCCTCGTCTCGCACTGTTCTCGATGTGCTGAGCCCATGTTGACTATTGCCCTTTGCAAATCCGTCCCCCTCCGACACCACCTTCATCTGCCATTCTGGCTTGTGCCCCTCCGTGTACTCCCCTCTTCTTCCTTCCACAAATGGAGTTTCTAAAGAATTAACACTATAAATCTGCTCTTAACCCCACTCGCTGCCTCACCCTTGTCTGAACTGTAGCCTTTTGAAGCATAAGCGCTGTTTCTCTTTGTGTAAATAGAGGGAAATAATTAATGAGAGATGTAATCTGAGGAGAGGAGCCCTGTGATCTCAGGAATATGTGGTATTACGGGATTACACTAGAGTTGCTTCTCCTAATTGTTTCCAGAAAAGTAACTTTGCTTTCCCTTTCCAGTAAGGCAGTCGAGACCCTGCTCTGAGATTTCCTTTTCCAGTCTCCAAAGATCAATCTGGAGAAAGAAGCATTGGCCTGGAAGAATTATAAATCACTGGACAATATCCCAGTGATTATTCTGTCTAGATTTTCCGGGTTCATGTCTGGAGTAAAGGAGGAGTTAATTCAGAATTCAGTCTGAAGAGAGATGCTCGCTTCTGTCTTAAAGACTTTAAAAAGCCAGATTTGCTTACCTTAATGATGCTATTTTCTCATCAGTAGATGCTTGTGCAATGGGCCAACGCTTTGCTTTTCTTCTGCAGCTTGGCAACAAACACTGTGGTGCAGACGTACAACACTGGCCGTCCTGTCTGGAGCTGCTGCTGGTGTCTGGATGATACCAACTACATCTACGCTGGCCTGGTCAACGGCTCTATCATGATCTATGATTTGAGAGACACCAACTCTCACGTCCAGGAGCTAGTCCCTCAGAAATCCAAGTATGGCATAAGGATTTTTCATTCCTCTCCACTTCTCTGATATACATTAAGCTAAAAATAGCTTCTTCCGTAAACCCCACAGCAAGTGTAATAGTTTAAATTGGTTTATGTGAATCTCTTGTTCAAAAATTCAAATTCAACGCCGATGGTAGAAGCCTCTCATAAGGCTGCATGGTGTGTGTGTAATTTGGTATGAGTGCTTGGCACCTGCACCTTCTTAAGGCACACAGTGGTGAGAAATGGACCCACCAGTGCAGTCTGAGCAGGAGAACTGAATTTGTTTTGGAGCTGGATTTAGTATTTAATTTGGAAACGACAAATGACAAGAGGTGTGAGATGCCTCCACCTCTTCTACTCAGGGAATCAATGCTGATTTACACGCATCTGACATGGGCTGTTCTGATGCTAGTAGGGAGGTGATTGTGCCCCTGTACTCAGCACTGGTGAGGCCACACCTCGAGTGTTGTGTCCAGTTTTGGGCACCTCAATACAAGAGAGATCTGGAGGTGCTGGAGCGAGTGCAGAGGAGGGCAACGAAGCTGGTGAGGGGGCTGGAAAACAAATCGTATGAGGAGCAGCTGAGGGAGCTGGGACTGTTTAGTGTGAGGAAGAGGAGGCTGAGGGGAGACCTCATCACTCTCTACAGCTACTTGAAAGGACACTGTAGAGAGGTTGGTGCTGGTCTCTTCTCACAGGTAATTAGTGACAGAACGAGAGGGAACGGCTTCAAGCTCCAACAGGGGAGGTTTAGATTGAACATTAGGAAGGAATTTTTCACCGAAAGAGTGATTGGGCATTGGAACAGGCTGCCCAGGGAGGGGGTGGAGTCACCATCCCTGGATGTGTTCAAGGGCCGTTTAGATGCAGTGCTGAGGGACATGGTGTAGGGGAGGACTTTGTAGAGTAGGGGAGATGGTTGGACTCGATGATCCCAAGGGTCTCTTCCAACCTCAATGATTCTATGATTCTTTAAAACATAAGGCTCGGTAGTCACGTTCAATGTCACTTATTCTTGACAAACCCATTGGGGTTCCTTGCTTGGAGCCCACATAGGCCCTTTCCTTGCAGCGTGGTTGGAGAGAGGTGGGGCAAGGTGGCCAGCGTGGCTGCAGAGGGCACCGCTGACTCTTGCCAATCATGCTTTCAGGTGCCCCATGGTATCGTTGTCCTATCTGCCCCGGATGGCCTCGGCCTCGCTGCCTTACGGTGGAATCCTGGCTGGGACCTTGGAAGGAGCCTGTTTTTGGGAACAGAAAGCTGGCAACTCCTACCGGCCTCACCACCTGCCGCTGGAACCCGGAGGATGCATCGATATTCAAACGGAGATCAACACGCGGCACTGCCTCGCCACGTACCGGCCCAGTACGTACCAGTCTGCATCTGCAACCTGGTCATGGCCATGCTGGCCTGCTCTTTGTCCAGTTCAACAGCAGAAACACAGAACCTGCCCTAACCACAGCAGCCAGCTTCTGGGTGATGGCAAACAGAGGCAGCTGCAGGGTGGTGGTGCTTGGATGCACCCGGTTAAGAACTGGGTGATGGCAAAGGGAGGCAGCTGCAGGGTGGTGGTGCTTGGATTCCCACCACTGAGACTAGCCTGCAGTTAAATTTTTCCAGAGCTCACCGTTTTATTTCTGCCACGCAGGTAAAAATAACCCGTGTGTGCGTTGTGTGATGATGGAACTGACCAGCAGCCCACTGACGGGGGCCTCAGAAGATGTGGTGTGCTCTTCTAACCCGGTTCAGACGTTCAGTGCTGGGCCCACCTGCAAGTTGCTGACCAAGAACGCCATTTTTCAGAGCCCGGAGGAGGATGGCAGCGTCTTTGTGTGTGCTGGCGACGAGGCCTCTAATTCTGCCCTGGTATTTCTCCTTCTTTTCAGGGCAACGGAGGGTTTTATCGCAACTCTTAGGAGAGAAGCCTTATGGGTTGCGGGATCAGTGTGTTTTGGTGGGGAATTGTCACGTTACTCTGGGCAGGTCGGGCTGTTGTACTTGCTGTAGCAGGTGTAACTCTCTGATAGCGTGGCAAATACTAGCCAAGGCCTGTGGTCCATGTCCATGTAGAGGAACACAGGCAGAGAGCCCCTGTTGTCCACCAGAGGAATGCAGCTGGGCACACTGGCACAACTGGTGTAACAGAGGCTTGGTGGGATGGCTAATGTGGTAAGTGCTGGGAGGGAGGGATGCAGGCTCTCTGGGAATGAAGGGGAGATGAGGAGGAGGAGGAGGGTTGCCCTTTGTATGAAAAGGCAGCTCAGCTGCAGGGGATGGACCACAGGCTGCAGGAGAACTTGTGAGTTGGGGTCAGAGGAGAGGGCAGTCATGGTGACACTGTGCTTGGAAGTCTGTTGGAGACCATCCCAGCAGGGTGTGAAAGGAGAGGAAGGGTCCTGTAAGTAACTTGAGGAAGGTCTTCTCTCTAGAGGGAGCTGTTTTGGGTGGGAGGGGAGGATCCTGAGGCGTTTGACCCTTGTCTGTCCCACAGCTCTGGGATGCTGGCAGTGGATCCTTGCTGCAGAAGCTGCAGGCCGACCTGCCTGTGCTGGACATCTGCCCCCTGGAAGTGAACCAAACCCACCTCCTGGCCACGCTGACGGAGAAGACGGTGAAGATCTACAAGTGGCAGTGAGAGCAGTCCCTGCTCCTGCCACAGAGGGTTTCCAAATATGCTGCTGATTAACCCCACACAACCCCTGCTGTCCCCCTCGTGCTGCTTACAGGAGACAGGAACCGCTACCGCACCGTTCCGGTGGTGGGCTGGAACTGGGACACGCTGGTGCCTGGAGCAGTTCCCTCCTTCCTCAGTCTTCTTTTTTAGGTCTACCCTTATTTCTTCTTTGGTCAATTTATTTTTCAGTCGGACTCCGCGAGCTGCCTCGGCACAGCAATACTTGGACCATCTCCAGCGTGTGTTGCTGCACTTGGGGTGGTTTTTTTTCTCCCCAGTGTGATTGCAGCACAGGGACTCGTAAATCTTTTCTGCAAATCAACAAAACGAGAGGATCTGGAAGAGCCAAGACTCCTACTGCACTTCCTCTTGGAGTCTTGCTGTGGTAACACGGTGATGAGAAGGTGGCAATGTTGGCATCTGGGTTTTTTTTTTTCCTCCCCAGTGTGATTGCAGCACAGGGACTCAAATCTTTTCTGCAAATCAACAAAATGAGAGGATCTGGAAGAGCCGAGATTCCTACTGCACTTCCTCCTGGAGTCTTGCTGTGGTAACACGGTGATGAGAAGGTGGCAATGTTGGCATCTGGCTCGCGTGGAGAACGTGCTTCCATGTTCTTTTTTTTTTTTCTCCCCAGTGTGATTGCAGCACAGGGACTCGTAAATCTTTTCTGCAAATCAACAAAACGAGAGGATCTGGAAGAGCCAAGACTCCTACTGCACTTCCTCTTGGAGTCTTGCTGTGGTAACACGGTGATGAGAAGGTGGCAATGTTGGCATCTGGCTCGCGTGGAGAACGTGCTTCCATGTTCTTTTGAAGGTCTAGGGTCAGTTGGCAGCTATTCCCTGATGAAGACAGGCCGTGGAGAGAAGAGGCTTGGAAAATCTACAGAGAACTCTTTTCTTCCATGGCTTTTGTCCTTGGGTGTATACTTTGCACTTGTAATTCCTTAATTCTCTGCCTCCATTTCCTTCCTCTTCTCTCTTCCCTGCTTCATCTACAAGTGAACTTGGGCAGTTGCCTTGTGGAAGATGGAAGTGGAGAAGCACAGGTGAAGAGGGGGAGATGACCCTGTACTGCTGCAGCCTGTGGTGTCCTTCCTCACAGACAGCAATGTGCAAAACAGCCAGGACCTTGCGAAAGAATGAAGAATGTTGGGTTGGTTTTTTTTTTAATGCTGGGGGCTATTTTTCCCCTTGGAGGAACTGGTGGAAACTCGGGGATTTCATCAGCTTGCTTTCACTGCCCTTTTGCCTTCCTGAAGTCATCCTTGCCAGCTCACCGGCCGGTCAGAGCCAGCTGCCAGTTGTATTTGTGCACGAGTTCACTGCAGATCCACTGCTTTCCTTAAATCTGAGCCCGTCGGGTGGGATCCCGGCTCCGGGCCGTGCGCTGGCCCTCAGCACCCTCAGTAAATACCCTGACGGGGGTGAGGACATTTATCTCCAGGTCAGATCATGAAACAGGACTTGAGTTTCATTTTATGTTTAACAAGAGCAAACTTTGAAGGAGGTTGGAAGCTGAGTTCCCGGTGCTGGGAAGGTGTCCCCTGGCAGACCCCCCCTCTGGCCCTGGGAGGCAGCATCCATCCTCTGTTCACATTGGATGTGCCACCCCTTAAACTGCCTGGACAGTTTCATTTTCTGAAGTCTGGAGCTTGCACAGAATGATCCCGTTCGTGTCTTACCTCTTAACAATTGAGATGGAGATGATCTCTGCTTAACTTTATATTTTTCTGTAGAGTATTTTGTTCTTATATTTTTATATACGGTAAAAATAAAGCGTTTATAGTTACCAAATAGAGCTGCTGCATTTTAAAAATATGTCTTGGTGATTTGCAGTGCCCATCTCGGGGACATAATCAAACATCCTCATATGCAGGTACGGATTTTCATGCTTTGTAATAATTATTTCCAAGCTGCATTTGGCTTCAAATTGAAATAATGGAGGGTTTTAGTGAAGGGAGAGACCTCGCCAGGCCCTGCTGCTCTGGGCAGGGGAGGGAAGAGGCGAGGGCGGCGCAGGGTCAGGCCCTGCACCTGGGACATCCTTTGAATTGGAAAGAAACTCACTGATGTGAGACTTTTTTGGCATTTTGACCACGATCGGGGAACAAAGGGTTTGTAGGAAGAAGAACAGGGTGAGAAGGTCCCCGGTAACACCAGCTCAAACCAGAAGGAGCAGGCTCGTCTCTGCCAACTTAGTGCAATGAGCTGCTTGTTCTCAGCCCACTCCAACCTCTTCCTCCTCCAAGAACTTTGGAAAATTTTGAAGTCCTACAGAAAAAGGCATTAAAAAGCCTCTTATCTTTTGATTTTCTAGGTAGCACTTGGGTTCTACTTTATATTGCTCCACAGGAATAAGAGGTACAAACTTAAAATACTATTAAAATAATAACGGAAGGTGACACTTCCATGTCCTCTCAGTTTTCAAATCCAGAAATTAAGAAAACTTCCAAAGACTGGAGATGTGAAGAACCTTGTCACGCTGCCCTGGTCACAGGTTTGCAGCAGGCTCTGGGGAAGAGCACCTAAATTGCCTGGGGAAAGCCATCAGCATCCAGGACTCATCAAAGGTCAAACGTGTTCATTAAATATTTGCTCATCTCTGGCTGAAGTCCAAGGGGCTTGAAGGAAGGAAAAAATGAGTGTCTACACGACGCAGGGCAGCTGCCATGAGGGGCTGAGCTCTTTTCTTTGGTGTTTTAGGTGAGAAGCCCCAACGTGGCTATTTCTGGTCTCTGGGAAGATGTCCCTGTGGAGCAGGGTGGCCCCTTGGCAATTCCTGTAGTTAATCTGACAGGAGTAAATCTTTTCTGCAAATCAACAAAACGAGAGGATCTGGAAGAGCCAAGACTCCTACTGCACTTCCTCTTGGAGTCTTGCTGTGGTAACACGGTGATGAGAAGGTGGCAATGTTGGCATCTGGATCGTGTGGAGAACGTGCTTCCATGTTCTTTTGAAGGTCTAGGGTCAGTTAGCAGCTATTCCCTGATGAAGACAGGCCGTGGAGAGAAGAGGCTTGGAAAATCTACAGAGAACTCTTTTCTTCCATGGCTTTTGTCCTTGGGTGTATACTTTGCACTTGTAATTCCTTAATTCTCTGCCTCCATTTCCTTCCTCTTCTCTCTTCCCTGCTTCATCTACAAGTGAACTTGGGCAGTTGCCTTGTGGAAGATGGAAGTGGAGAAGCACAGGTGAAGAGGGGGAGATGACCCTGTACTGCTGCAGCCTGTGGTGTCCTTCCTCACAGACAGCAATGTGCAAAACAGCCAGGACCTTGCGAAAGAATGAAGAATGTTGGGTTGGTTTTTTTTTTAATGCTGGGGGCTATTTTTCCACTTGGAGGAACTGGTGGAAACTCGGGGATTTCATCAGCTTGCTTTCACTGCCCTTTTGCCTTTCCTGAAGTCATCCTTGCCAGCTCACCGGCCGGTCAGAGCCAGCTGCCAGTTGTATTTGTGCACGAGTTCACTGCAGATCCACTGCTTTCCTTAAATCTGAGCCCGTCGGGTGGGATCCCGGCTCCGGGCCGTGCGCTGGCCCTCAGCACCCTCAGTAAATACCCTGACGGGGGTGAGGACATTTATCTCCAGGTCAGATCATGAAACAGGACTTGAGTTTCATTTTATGTTTAACAAGAGCAAACTTTGAAGGAGGTTGGAAGCTGAGTTCCCGGTGCTGGGAAGGTGTCCCCTGGCAGACCCCCCCTCTGGCCCTGGGAGGCAGCATCCATCCTCTGTTCACATTGGATGTGCCACCCCTTAAACTGCCTGGACAGTTTCATTTTCTGAAGTCTGGAGCTTGCACAGAATGATCCCGTTCGTGTCTTACCTCTTAACAATTGAGATGGAGATGATCTCTGCTTAACTTTATATTTTTCTGTAGAGTATTTTGTTCTTATATTTTTATATACGGTAAAAATAAAGCGTTTATAGTTACCAAATAGAGCTGCTGCATTTTAAAAATATGTCTTGGTGATTTGCAGTGCCCATCTCGGGGACATAATCAAACATCCTCATATGCAGGTACGGATTTTCATGCTTTGTAATAATTATTTCCAAGCTGCATTTGGCTTCAAATTGAAATAATGGAGGGTTTTAGTGAAGGGAGAGACCTCGCCAGGCCCTGCTGCTCTGGGCAGGGGAGGGAAGAGGTGAGGGCGGCGCAGGGTCAGGCCCTGCACCTGGGACATCCTCTGAATTGGAAAGAAACTCACTGATGTGAGACTTTTTTGGCATTTTGACCACGATCAGGGAACAAAGGGTTGGTAGGAAGAAGAACAGGGTGAGAAGGTCCCCGGTAACACCAGCTCAAACCAGAAGGAGCAGGCTCGTCTCTGCCAACTTAGTGCAATGAGCTGCTTGTTCTCAGCCCACTCCAACCTCTTCCTCCTCCAAGAACTTTGGAAAATTTTGAAGTCCTACAGAAAAAGGCATTAAAAAGCCTCTTATCTTTTGATTTTCTAGGTAGCACTTGGGTTCTACTTTATATTGCTCCACAGGAATAAGAGGTACAAACTTAAAATACTATTAAAATAATAACGGAAGGTGACACTTCCATGTCCTCTCAGTTTTCAAATCCAGAAATTAAGAAAACTTCCAAAGACTGGAGATGTGAAGAACCTTGTCACGCTGCCCTGGTCACAGGTTTGCAGCAGGCTCTGGGGAAGAGCACCTAAATTGCCTGGGGAAAGCCATCAGCATCCAGGACTCATCAAAGGTCAAACGTGTTCATTAAATATTTGCTCATCTCTGGCTGAAGTCCAAGGGGCTTGAAGGAAGGAAAAAATGAGTGTCTACACGACGCAGGGCAGCTGCCATGAGGGGCTGAGCTCTTTTCTTTGGTGTTTTAGGTGAGAAGCCCCAACGTGGCTATTTCTGGTCTCTGGGAAGATGTCCCTGTGGAGCAGGGTGGCCCCTTGGCAATTCCTGTAGTTAATCTGACAGGAGCCCGTAGGTGAAGCCAGGCAGCGCTCTGCTTCCAGAGCACGGGGCCTTGCTCTTCCCTCTGCATGGGCCTTTTGCCATTTATTTTTATTTTTCCAGGCAAAAGGTAGCACTAAAAATGTGTGAGGGAAGAAGTGTGAGCGCAGCTTTGGCCTAAGTAAGGCAGGACCTTCCCTTGGCTCTTCCCGGGGTATAAAGTGGGTATTTTATGTGTCCCGGACCAAATGGGACTAAACTCAGGTGACACAGCGAGTGACACGAGCAGCTCCATCTGTGCCTCGTCACGCTGAGGGGGCCAGAGCAGCCCCCTGGGATTTCACTTCGTTTTCCTGTTTCAGTTGGTGAGAAGAACCCAGCAACTTTTTTTTTTTTTTTTCAGCTAATGTAGATGAGCAGATTTTTTCCCCCAAGGCAGTAAATCCCTTAACAGAGAGCCCTGGCGCTCTGCTGGTTTCTGAAGGAGAGGGAAT